GTTTACATAATAGATTATATAATCAGTTTACCTTTACAATGGTATGATACATTGTTGTTGATGATAATGATGACATTGCTGTAAGATGATGGTGTATGACGTTGATTATGATGGCGGCAATATTTTGTTGTTGACGATGATTATAACAAAGACGTTAGATGATGGTGTGTGATGGCAATATGTTGCTGATGTTGATGATGCTGCTGCTGATGATGGTACATTACTTTCAATGCTCAACGAATGTATCCTTCTAGAACAGATGATTTGCGTTGGTCGATGACACTAAAAAATCTGACTAAAAGGTTTATCTTAACAACGGTGTACAGCGTAAACTGTTCTCTGTTCGTCTTTGGTACTGAAAAGTTACCATCCTTTGGTTAAATTTTATCTTTTCTATTATTATTAATTATGATGTTGCAGTACATCGTCTTTACTTTTAATATTTGTAAATAATTTGTTTATGTATATTTTCCCTGATTTTTGATATAATTTTTCCCTTTATTTTCTAACACATTTTTTAGCTTTGACAAATGAGTGAAAACATTCTAAAATAATAACTTTCTGCCAATAGAAGTCGAACGACTCTCTGCCAATAGAGGTCGAACAATTGTCTGCCAATAGAAGTCGAAAAATTGTGTGCCAAAAGAAGTCCAACGATTTTCTGCCAATAGAAATAGAACAATTTTCGGCCATTATATGACGTAGGCCACAAAGAAAATTAATTTCTGGTTTACTATAGGGGAAATATTACACAATAACACTGTATGTTCGATTGAAACCTACACCTTTCATAATTTTTTCCGGGCCCATGTAATTATATACATACAATGTGATGTGATCCTTGCAAGCATTTTAACTGATTGATGAAAACATTTTTTTGATTAAGAACATAATAAAAGTTTAAATGCTTATAAACAAAGAAAACAAATTAACAATGTATTATCGCAAATCTATTTCATATATGTAACATATATAGATCATATTCATAAAAATGATATCAAATTCGAATAATAATTCTTTGTGTAAGCTGAAAATCACAAATATGTTGGTATAAGATATCGAACAATAATATCAACAGACAATAAATGTGGAAATTCTAGTGGTTTACGACAATCTATGTATGTATATACATCTTCCTTGGTTACAGAAACACAGTGAAATACAGCCATACTATACCATTTCATATATTTTATTATTCAATTAAAAAGATTCAGTTAGATCATTTTCACTTCTCACTCCCTTCTCCATACACAATATATATACTTGATAGCAGTGAGGATATATAGCGAACTTAGCGACCTTTCAAACAGTTTTTATTTCAAAAGACATTTATTATGCCCTTCTTATTGCATTACATTTCAAACCCTGCATCGAGTTTCGACTGTTACCTAAAATATATTTTCAAAGTCTATAAAATCGCTACGAGAGCAATTGAACAGTGACCTAATACGACTTGTGTACAAATTTTAATGTTATTAAAAGAAATCATTACAGTAAACCCCCAACTATGCCGTTTGACACCTCGCTAACCGCCAACGTAGTTATAGCCCCCCCTCCCCCCTTCCCTTTTTCTGAAAAAAACTGCTGTATTCGTTGCTTACAACTGTATTTCTCTGAACAAATGGTGGCAGTATACTATAACGTTTCTATATTTAAACACTGCGATAAATCCAAGCTCCCTACTATCAATTGATCGTTCTTCTACTTCTGCCTATCGCAACGGATACATTTCCACCTTCTCAACTACACCAAATGGCTTCAACGATGCATATCATACTCCCACATACGGACAAACTAGAAATATGTGGTATCAATTCAAAGTTTAGACGAAAATATAACAGAAATCAGAAAGCAATCTCAAGAAAAGGAAAGGACCCGCTCACACAAAACACCGCAGTCAACACCAGGTACTTCTTGAATCATAGGCGCTTTGGTACCCATCATGATTTCGTGTGTCAAATTCAGGAGAGTTTGTCGATCACCAATGATCAATCTAGAGCACAATTTATATACTTTAATTATGTCAGACACTTGGATCTCATATCGGGAAACCAAAACACGTTGAAGACTGTAAAAAACCCAAGAGTATATCTGAAACAACTTCGATAAATAAGCCGAGCGTGTAAGTTATCGGCCAACTGGTCACCTCTGTCCAGCAAATTAACTGTGACTCTGTAAACTCAAAGTTCCAATGATAAATTAAATTGTTACATTGGTCTAAAGTTTGGTGCTAAGTTTTGTGTTTATGATATAATAGGTGAATGCCAAGACGCCGGTGTCAAGTTGGTGACAAAGAGTCTGGGAAGTCTTTATTTTAAGTTTTGTAGGAGATGCAAGTTGTTCTCGAAATTTCCGTTTTCTAGGTCAAAATTTCGCCAATATATCCATGTAAATTAGAAATAAGTTAAGAAACAGATTAGCAAATGTAATTTCTTCAACAAAAAATGCTAAACTTAGTTTCACAAAATTATGAAAAAAAACCAGCTCGATTGGAAATATTACATACAAATAGTCTATTGAAATATCCTTTCACCCTCTTCAGGAAAAATGTTGCCCGGATTTATTCATCTTCCTGGCAAATTATTCTAAGTGTACTTTTTCTTGTTTTCTCGCTAGCGGTGTGGTCTTAACAAGTAACATATTCGGTTTCATTTCTAATGGCTACTGTCTCTACGTTTCTCAGATTTCAGAGAAGGACTGAAATACCAGTTATAATTTTCACTATGATCAATGGTATTACACGCTATGGAGAAGGCGACAGTATTTAATATGAAATAGTTTAGATAAACTAGAGGTATGTGGTTTAAGAGAGGGTTTAGATTTTATATAGTCTGACTTATTCCTCCGTTTTATATAATCAATCCTTAAGTGACGATTGAATTTCTGTCAGTTATCATTCTTTTACATATGCCTGTTTAATTTACACATGTTTTCAAAAACAGAAATGGTATTATTTTGGTTGTTTAAGCTCATTTTTAAAACAGCAAATTATATTTGTGATTTACCCTACCCCTTTTGGTACTCTAAAAACCCCATTTCCGGTCAAATATTGGGCATGTAATGCATAAGGACATCTTTGAACAAATTTAGGGGGTGAAAATCCGGATATACCGGGGCCCAAAAAAGGGTTTTATAGACACTCATCCTTTGTGTGATGATAATATCTATTACTCCTGTTTCTCGAGGATCTACAGAAATCCCCTTTTACACTGTTTACCTAGTACTTCTCTAATTTGTTACATTAATTAATTAAGGGGTTTGAAGCACCCCCTTTGTTTCAATAGTAGATTAGATTAATTCGGATTTCTACCTTATTAGTTCTAGCATCACCGATAGGTCCTAGAAGATCGAAGTATGGTGCAGTGTACTTCATTTCTAGCAGACTGTACTTATTACCAAATTCACGTGTGGTTTTGACGTTCATCTCTTTCTGATACACATATTATTCGAGTATTTATCAATGATTAATTGACAGCTTATTGAATGAAAGAGTCGATCTTAACGTAGTCAGTTAACTTGATTGTATTTAAAGATAATAAAAATAAAATTGTCAATTGTCTTCTCTTAATATTTGTAATCGAGATTTGAAGTATAAAATTTGGCAAAATTTTCAAGGTGCTTATAATGACGTTTAGAAATAATAATGATTTCAAAGCAGTAAAGCGACATATTTGGATTGCTAAAAATATTTAAACCAGACAATATTTATTTTGACACTCACAATCATACACGACCTTAACATTTCAATCCCTTCATAACTTGACCTTAACCTTGAGTTTTGATAGTGATGTCCGGTCAATATCGTGTTACATTATTATGTCAGACATAATATTGTTCAATCACATCCCACTACATTAAGCTAATTGGGGTACATTGTTGTCTCGTCGTCACTACCCTTGTTCGCTTTTTGAGGTCGTGATTTTACTTGTATTAGATCTAGTTTTAAATGGCGAGTGTCGTTGATAAGCAGAAGAGGTTTCTTATTCTGCTTGTACTTTTTCAAAGGTCTCTGTCTAAATTTTCTCTTTGTTCATACTGCATACTAGTTCATTGATTTGAACTCCTGATAATGGTTTTGTTCACACTCCGGTATTCTGGATTTTTTTTTATCCTTCTATAATCTTCGATAAACTGGCAACATTTGTCTTTAACGAAATACCGTACATTTACCTTAACATGTAGGCTTTGCCAAGGAACAAAAAACGGTCTTGTTGATTCTTTTTTAGTACATTGTCTTTCTGCTTATGGTTTTGTCACCGTTTGTATCATCAGGCTATACATTTGTTTGGTACATATTGGAAGACAGGTGTTGGATTATTCTGTATCGAATAGGTAATTATAGAGGGGCACTATAAAGGATATTACTGTCATGTGCAATATGTTTGAAACATGCATCAATGTTTGTTTCATGTTTGTCAAGGCAAGGTTAAACTTTATACGGGATATGTACGCATTTTTGTTTGACAATGTTAAACTTAATACGGAAATGTACGAATCTTGTTCGTCAATGTTTAACTTAAAAGGAGATAGTATGCTTCTTTTCCGTAAATATTCAGCGTGATACGGACAAAGTTTTATTTTCATGCGTTATACTGAATGGAAATTTGATGTTTGTGAAAGACACGTGCAATCTGGTTCACGTGTCTTATTTGTAATAACACTGTAGAACATGTTACAAGGAAGCCATACACATCAGAAAACTGGATATTGTAATTAAAACGGTAGATCTTCAAAATGATACTTGCTGAAATATCGCATTGTTTCGATTGCCAATATATTGCTCTTAGATAACTCACGAGATTAACCACACATTCTTGTTAATTTTCATCTGATTGCCTATCATAATTCTCCCAATATAAACACATTTCGTTGAAACATTTTTAGTTCCTAATTTAAAAGACACATTTCGATTGAACGAAAGAGATACATTTGAAATAAATTGATGCAAAATGTATTAATGAAAAAATAAGGGCTCAAATTACTTCGGATATTGTGTAGAAGTAAAACTTTATTAGTAAATACAGATGTTCCCTCTTAACTTAAAGACAAAAGAAACACAATATGAACAATTAAACGGTAAAACAATTTTCAGCATCGTACCATCAACCAATTGATGCTCTCTTCAAGGGAGACCATGTTGTCCTTCGTAACATAAATGCATGCCATATTTAATAAAAATAACAAGTGGAAAAGAGACACAATGAAAAAACCAAAATCACGTACAATGTTCAATTTCACACAGCTGTCATTTGACCTGTGTTTTGGACAGTCATTGTCCATTCTGAAATGCTTTGTTATAGAAATGGACTGCAGATATTATATGTATCGATCCGAGCATGAGTTGCACTGTGTTCATTCACAATCAATGTTTTTATCCATTGCTGTCATTGTAAGTTCCTCTCAGTAAAAAAAGGGCAATGATGGTTACCATACTTCCATACCAAAACTTACACGCCACTTTAGGTAGCTGTCTTTCATTCATGCACCCTGTCGACAGGCGTCAGATAAATGGTCGGGGGTTAAAGTATCCAGGCTGTAAAAGCAAATGGATGCTCTTCGATAACTCACTGAACGTGGAGAAAGGTACCAAAGACCTATCAGAATCATGACCAGAGCAGGCGCTTTTTTCAGTTTGGTGTTTCAGGGCGGCGTGGAGCAGCTGGTGACCGGAGTGAATGCGGACATGCTGGTCTGCGTGACGTCACGATACTGAGCAAGAGCGGGGTGAGAGGGATACATAGGGAAGGACCAGGGCGAGGATGTCGCAGATACACCAGTTGACACAGACTTCGGGGAAAGGAGCCCTCCCCTCTGGCTTGCCTCACGATCACGCCGTTCCCGAGCACGCCGGTTCTGGAACCATATTTTCACCTGCAAAATATAAGCAATTTTAATAATATGACATTTAAGAAGGAAAGTGTGGGTGGTTAGATTTCACCGGAATTAAATGTATGTTGTAATATGGATTCTTGTTTTGTTTACCTGATGTATGATTACATCACGATCGCCATTCATAATACTTTTACATAAAATACCGCAGTTCTGCCCATTATACGCTCCTAAAATGAGGTTACCTTACTCATCAAATAATTACGACAGGTAGTCAAACTTTTAACCTGAATGATCCACTCGCGATATTTGCGGCTCATTTGATATTTTTTCGGTCTCGTGTTGCGACGTTTCAAAACCAATGGATCCTTTTGGCAAGCTATCATGACTTGAGACGTTAATTTATTGTGTTAAAATTAAAACTTTGATAAATGCTAACTTTCAAACAGATGAATTTTATCCAGAATGACCGCCTTTGATCGGTTGAGACATTTTCCGACCTAATTAAACCTACGCCATACCAATTCTAACCAAATTTTACCAATGACCGTCCACTGGCTCTGATCCAGTCATGTTTCTTTTCCTATGGAATTTAAAATATCTTTTCTTGCGTTTATTCATTTCCGACTTCATCTTAATTTGAATCTAACTGCATACAATGATCCTAACATGTTATTATTTTTTGGCCGTTTCGTAACTCAACGAAGACAGAAATAAATACCACGTAGATATTATGAAATCTCCATAAAGTAGAATTCGAATCGTTTACTGATACAATAGCATACTGATTACTAATAGGGTCTTCTCAGGGATACATATACAGACCCCGTGAGCCTCTAGCTGAATACAACATGTACTTAACATGTTATTCTTTAACTTGTAAAACTTGTTTCCAAATCCAATTCCATTAATTGTGTATTGCTTTATATAAAAATGTAAATAAAAATAGAAATGAAATAAAGTTTATGTTAACATGTACTTGACATGGTGAATCCTACAACCCACTCATTGGATAAACCTGCTAAGAGTTGGTAAACAATTTTGGTAAACACCCTGGACGTGATTCATTGGTCAATATTTTGATTATGACGTCACGTAACAATACTTCTGATAAATCGATGTTTTCTAGTAAACAGATTAAGTTGTGTTGTACAAACTATTGTATAAATAAATCAAGTCATGAAAAGTCACAATTTTAATCAAAGAACTCTACTGGGTTTTTTTATCAATAGGATTGATAATAAAAGACAAACGTCAAACAAACTGAACCAATTAGTTATGTACCACTTAATACCCCTCAGCTACATCTCTGTATCAAACGATAATCGGCGGACAAAGGTAAGGGCCAATTGGACAGTATTTCATAGCCACATCTACCATCCTCTGCCTTCAAAGGCACCCAGACCTATTAATTTCCCGATCAAGCCATCAACCACCCATACCGTATAATTGCATTACAAATTTATGTCTGTCCGTGCCACTTACATCGTCACCAATCACCATATAACTGATAGCAACAATGATGACTGCATGTGTCTGAGGTCAGGTAGATCCCCTTGTTTCTATATCCCTAGCATACAGTTGGATGCAAATGTTGTCTATGAATAGCAATATTACAAAGGATAGGGAACACACGAACAATAGGATACATCTCCTTCAGATTCCAGTGACATTTTTTTTTTTTATCTAAATTTATTAGATGTGACGTTCAAGATTTTTCTTACCATGTTATACATTATACATGTTTCGTTTAAATCTGGACATTGAGCTCATGAAAATTGATTAATGAAATATTTTGAACTGCCACAAGACAAAAAAAATCTTGTACAGTAATACACAAATAAAATAGTATACTCATATGCTCACATAAAACTGATAATATCATATCTTTATATGAGTTTGTATTTCATTCTATAAATGTTACTGCTTCGGGTAATCAGGAATAAAATACCAATAAGAAATACATGTTGTTGCATTTCATCTATATGGACAAAACACACCTGCGCCATTCCTGGGAATTCTATCCCTCGTATTCTGCTTTTCATATAAAAAGTTAATTATAATGAATTCAAGCAATAATTAGACAAATGAAATGTTTATTTGATCAGTGATTGGTGTAAAAAAAAATTACCAGAATTTATGTTTCTTTCTCTTAAAGGTTGAACGACAGCAAAATCGGTTAAAACGGAACATAGAATACGCTGAACATAAAGTTGATACACACTTTTAGTACTAAAGGAGGATGTCAGTTGTTGGTTTGTTTTGTGTTAGCACTCTATAAAGAAGTGGTTGTTTCAGCTGTAAGATGCAGCGGTAGTCATTTTTGGCATACTGTATCTATCACCAAATATTATAGGTGCAATTATAGGTGTATTACGTTCATCATTTAAGTATGTTTACCTGATTACATCGATACCTATAAGATATCATATCATTGTCCCATAAATGTTTGTTTCTATTATTAGCAATATAAAGGATATCAAGATAATATTGAAATATAGAATACTGCAACACATGATTTTTTATTTTATTAAAATTATATGTAAGATACCACAGTTACTATTGAAATAAAATATTGTTTTCTCAATAAATTATGTATTTGATGATTTAATTTTGAAAAATGTTCGGGGTTATATTAAAATACAGGATAGTTTGTTTGTTTTTTTATTTACGTCCTATTAACAACTATGGTCAATTAAGAACGTGCCAGGTTTTGCTGATGGAGAAAAGTCGGAGTTCCCGGAGTAAAAACGCCAAACAATGGTCAGTAACTGGCGACTGCCCCTCGTAGGTATCGAACCCGCGACCCAGTGGAAACAGAATGCAGGACGCCTTAACCGCTTCGTCACCGCGGCCACTTTTTATAGATATAATATCACTCTTCGTATTAGCAATGATAATAAAGTTTATGTATAATATCAAGCTTTGTATAGCTTTGTATTAACAATCTTAATAAGAATATACGATATATAGTAAATTATTAGTATATAGGACTGTTCATCTAGTAATGTTTATTTATTTGATGAATAGGATACTATTAATATGTAGGATATTGTTACATAGATTTTGAAAGATTAGGAATTTGGTTATTCCTTTTTGTTGTTGTTATAGTATTCATGTCTAGGAATTTTATACATATTTAATATACCATGTACATACGACGCAGTATTTCAAGAATTGTGGTTCTGTACAGATTACAGTAAAAATAGTCTTTGCATCATTATTTCATCAAGTGGTCATTTATTTCAACACATTGTTATGAATCGTCATTCGGAGTAACGGTTTGCTCGTGTACGCGATGACGTAGAGCTACCGACAGCCTCGATTTGGAGAGAATAAATTACAACTTCCGTTTTCTATAATACTGAAACGTGTTGAAATACAAATAAAAGATGCAGATTTGGCAATAACTACCCGTTCTTTTCTACACATTCCAATTTTCTTAAAACCTGCATTTAAATAGCATTTTAAGACTTAATTAGATATTAAGTGGGATCTCATAAAACACAGGCGTTTGTGGATTCTCCAAGGTGTGCATTGGATCTCCAACATTACAAACACAACTATTAAATCTGAATCTAGCGGAAGTTATTATAATAAAACGATCATCTGTTCGGAACTATCTCACACTGAATGTGGGCAAATTATTGGCTTGAGGAAAAGACACTTCACTAATTTGTAGGTAACAGGTACTTTGGACGTTTCACTGGACAAAGCCTAGCTATTACTTCGGGGTGGGACTGCCTGCTGGTGGTCGCTGGGTCACGATATAAAGTGTCGCCTTTAGGTCGGCGTGACTCCTATAATCATTAACTCGAATTTAAATTACACAGTCTCGAGATTGTAAAACAGGCGTATTAAGATATACAGAAATCCTTTGGTTAGATATAATAGCTGACGCAAAAACAGTAAACTTTCAGCGAAGAGTAATTAACGGCGAGATATCTAAAATTAACAAATAAATAAAATAAAAATATAAAAAGGTAAACAAATAAAATAAAAATATGAAAAATTTAAATAAAAAAAATAAAAAAATGAAAATGTAAATAAATGAAATAAAAGAAAGTCTAAATAAAAGATTTTTTTTTATCAATGCATCAATAAAATAAATTATTTAAATCGAAAAAGAGACTAAATAAATGCCAAATACAATTATATTCATCGTTTCAGATGTATCATATAGTAAAACATAAACGGTGTTTTTCTTTGAAAAATAATCTTCATTCTTTTTGAACGACACTTTGTTATTGGAGATATATCAATAAAATAGTGTCAAGTGAAAAAAATTGTATCAAATTTAATGAACGATTATAACAATTGACTGCCTTATTTGTATTACTTATCTTATCCTTTAACGATTTCATATACTTCACCTTTTGTGATTGATCATCATTTTAAACGAACGTGGAATAACGAAGCCACTTGCTTTAAAACGACGCAGTTTGATAATTGACACTGAAGAAGAGGCGAATTCTAACGGGAAAATGTTTTAAATAAACATAGCATTATAGCTTTTAAACATTCGAAAGGGGCTTATTCCAAAAAACAATATAAAACGGTTTACTGTACTAATTCTCGTAAATTGAAATATTGGCATAGTAGATAGAAACATAAGGACACATTTTCAGTGTAATAAACACTTAAAGAACAATACGCTAACTAGGAGAAAGACTGAGTCTCATACTATTCAAAAACCATGAAAAACAGCCATAAAATTGAACTAAAATAAAAAGACACACAAACAGGTGATTGCACATTATAATTTACAATGCCCCATACGGCTGTTTCGTCCTTCTAGGACTTATCGGTGATGCTGAAAAGAACTTAAAGATATAAATCAAAACTGATCTAAAGTTCTGTTGAAACAAAAATAAGGGGGGGGGGGGAAGTGTGCATAAAACTCTTTAATTTTATTAATTTCAAACAATCGGGATATACTGGCTAGTTAAAAAATAAAACTTAATTTTAAATATTTTGTAAAGCGTAAATTATTAACCGTGCCACTACTATTTGGCTTTCAGGGGTACGACAAACCTCGGGGA